TTCAAGGTCGACGAATCTGATATTCTCGGGCAACTCCAGTAGTTCCTCTGGTCTCCTCTTCAGCATTCGCGATTTCAATAGTGTCAGACACTCAAGAGTAACTTCTGTCTCGAGAGTGCGTCCCATGGACAATATTAGTTTACCATCGCGCTTAAAGAGTATGAGGTCACTCTGTTGTATGAGGTTATGCGATAGATAAACGATAACGAAATAGCCAGAGAGACTAGCCTCAGCAGGGTCCACCATGTAGAGGTAGTCGTCATTGCCACGAGCTCCACACAGTATCTTCCCACCAAAACACTCCATTTGGGGACTGCGAAAATCTTGTTCCACAACCTTGCTGACAGCCGAGTGAGTTACACTACAAATTGACCGATCGAAAGGGATGTCACAGTCCACGACGATCCAGCGCATGTCGCTGAACGACTCAGTGAGAGGCTCGCCCAATTTTACGGGGAGATAGAGTGCTCCAGCCGGAGTGCGACAGAGCTTATGATGGGAACTGATCACAATAAGAATGACCAAAGCCTTGCTGGGGTGATGCAACACCTTTTCACCGCTTCCCTATCGGTCCCCTCATGTTCAAACCACTCGAGCCTTTCCATTCTACTATACTCAGTCGGCGTGAATCGACCGCTATGCGACGAAATCGGTCGCAGGCGTACCTCGGTCGTTCGAGAGAGAAGACCGTACGTTGGCGTGGGAACCCACTCCCCTTCAGAATTGCATGTTGGAGGACGCGGAATATGCAAATCCACGATAGACTGTGACCGTCGCTGACCAGAAAAGGCAGAGCAAGATAATACACTCTGCAGAGTGACTTGGCGTCTTAAAAAGGCGAGCCATTCTGGCAAGGCTTCTGAGGTTGCTGGCGGCAATAGGCAGGTGATCGAGGACGGCAGTAAGAGAGTCTGACAATGGAACAGTATGAGTGGAAAAGGTAGCGAGGGCCTCCTCACTCGAATGGTCCGTACAAGTTGCAACGACACCGCCGGCTTGCGGAGATATGCGGCGAAATGGCGGCATGTCGCACTGAGATTGAGCACGAAGTGCAAGCCTATCTTCAGAGAGTAGTCAGCGATGAGTTCGAGGACCTCAACGGGGATGATCAGGCCCGACGTCATCATCCCGGCTAGTAGTTTATCATAGGCAAGGGCTACTACGAGACCAGCCTCAACACGCAACAACAAGCGGATCCATTTTCCACCCTGTCCCCACCCCCAACGCAAATGTTCAATCCAGTACACGTGAACATGGTATTCATAAAGCAACATCGACCGGGGCTAGACGCCCTTGGCCCCTCGAGCCCTACTGGATCCGAACTCGTTTCGAGGACGAGCCATTCCACCAGTAATGAAATCTGCTGGTGACTCATCATAGCTCAGGGAGAATTGATGCCTCGAAGACTCCCTTTCCTGTTGCCACAACGTCATCGGTCTTCTGTGCATTTTTCTGAGGCTGCTGTCTCTCCATCTGTGTTGGTCCTCATCACGCCGCGCGGCCTCATCCAGGTTCATCACTGGATCCGAGGGCAGCGGGTCTACGCTAGCAGAACGAAATTGTGAACGCGGCAACATCGGCAATGCCTCGTGCCCCCAGCGGCGGCCTACTGTGCCCCCAGCTTTAGCCCGCTCCAAATTCATCGCATCGATTGAAGACGCAGAAGCCTTCAATGAGGTAGAGTCGTCATAACGAGTAGCAGAGGTCGACGCTTGGTTGACCAAACTCAAGTCGTGCAACAATGGCGGGGACTTTGTTGGCTCGGTGACGATCGGAAAGCTCGGCGGAGGCGGGCCTAGGCTGCGGCCTTGAGGAGAGTTCTTCACAAGTTGTCGGACGGGCTCGAATGGGCAGGCCAGATTCTCTTTGCTGATATGATCGTATTGTAGCAGATAAGTGAGGTCAGTCACACCCTGGCCAGCAACTTCTCTGTTCGACCGATGTGGTACGGGTTCATGAGCACCGCTGCATCCTCCCGGGTGGGCCCTCCAAGTGGCCCTCGGCGAAACACGAAGCTCTCCCTGTAAGTTCTTCAACCTCTTCCCCCCAACCTCAGGGAAGTCTTCACCAGCGCCTTGTGTAGTTACTCTCGGTAGGCATCTCTCCGGGGCTGGCTCGACAACCCATCGGAGCCCCATGTACCCGAGCTGGGCCAGCAGGGTCTTGTATGCCTCTTGGGCCATCCTGCTACCAATGTGCGACTCGATGCACGAACAAACACCAGCTAGAGTGAGGGCGATTCTCGATCGTACAATAGAGCGCGCAAGAATCGCCTGCAGGGCCGGCCGCCCCTCGGGTCTATCACATAGCATTGACACTATGAGCTCTCTCAAGCCCTCACTGCAGGTGACAGGCCCATGCCGGCCTTTCATGATCTTCAATGCCAGTCCTTGCAGACTGTCAGCTTCAAAGGCGTATCGGCCATGCAACACTTCGTACAGCACACAGCCGAGCCCCCAAATGTCGGCCTCGAAGCCATAGGGCTTCCCCCTGTACATCTCAGGGGACATGTATACCGGCGTCCCTATCATGGTAGAGGCCAAGGCCACTTTAGAGTGCATCGGGTTCGCCGGATGATCCTCCAGCATCTACACAAAAGCTCTGCTATTGTAACCACAACTACCAACCTACCTTGCTCACACCGAAGTCCCCGAGCTTGAGAACCAGGCTACCCTCTCCCACACTAGCTGGACGTAGGAGGAAAACATTCCCGGTCTTCATATCGCGGTGAAGTACCTATGGCTGCTGATGGTGATAGAGGCAGCACTCATCTACCCGGCGCGAATGCAAAGCTTGCAGTGCGAGGCACATCTGAATGAGCCAATCAATGGCTAAGTCCTCTAACCTTCTGGGAGGCGTTCCACCCTCCCATAAGCACTTTATGTGAGCTCCTAGGTCTCCCGAAGAGCAATACCTGAGCGTAAATGATATACACCATACCTTGTGAAACCTACTCCATCACGATGCA